GAAGTGGAGCAGGTCTCTCTGCAGGTTCCTTGTGCCTTGCTCATCCTTTGTGGGGTGTCTACCTGGCAGCAGTCCCCAAGCCAGGGGATCCGAGAGAGGGTGAGCAGGAGGACATCGGGTCTAAGATGGGGACCCAGTGATCACCTATGACTGCTGCCCTGAGCGTTTTTATTTTTTTTGAGACAGGGTTTCTCTGTATTGTTTTGGAGGCTGTCCTGGAACTCGCTCTTTAGACCAGGATGGCCTCGAACTATCAGAGATCCGCCTGCATCTGCCTCCCGCGTGCTGCGAATAAAAGGCATGCACCACCAACGACCAGCATGAGATTGTTGGTTTTTATGAACTGATAGAAAACTAATCAATAGATACTTCGTGCAGGGTTCTAACTGGTATCTCTTCTAACTCTACCCAATCAAATGCAGGAAGGGGAACAAATTCCACTAAATGTGGGGAAAATTACTGAAACTGACCATGAGAGACAAAGTTCCTATAAGAAATTACAAATGTTTATAAAATAGGCAATAGCATTGTTGTTTTGTATAAATTAGGTTAATATAAAATCAGTTTATGCCTTCTTGATTCCAATACGCGGTATAGAAATAGAGCAATTGGGGCTGGAGAGATGGCTCAGAGGTTAAGAGCACTGACTGCTCTTCCAAAGGTCCGGAGTTCAATTCCCAGCAACCACATGGTGGCTTACAACCATCTGTATTGAGATCTGGTGCCCTCTTCTGGCCGGCAAATAGGCAGACAGAATACTGTATGCATAATAAATAAATAAATAAATAAATCTTAAAAAAGAAATAGAGCAATTAAAATTTTTTTATAGTATTTATGAAACTCAATGAACTTTTCTTTATTTGTATTTTTTATTTTTGAAGGATAGAATGTGATTTCTTTTTCTTTCTTTCTTCCTATTTCAGCAACAAAACTAAGAATAAAATGTAATAACACAAAACAAAAACATCACATCAAAGTTGGAAGTGGTAACCCAAGAACAGGAAAACAGTCACATGATCTGGTAAAACAGTAAGAGATCTACCTCTGACACTTTTTGGGATCTCATGGACAGGGGACTGTTGACATTTTTACTTGCCCCAGGCAAACCAAGCCATACAAAGTCTGCTGACATGGCAGTGCTAGTCCCAACCCACTATAGTACTGAAAACAGCTTGGTACTGGCACAAAAAATGCACAGATAGACCAATGGAATTGAATTAGAAACCCTAATTTTAACCCACAGACTTACAAACACCTTATATTTGACTAAGAAGCTGAAGTTATACAATGGAAAAAAGAAAGCATGTTCAACAAATGGTACTGGCATAACTGGATGCTGGCATAGAGAAGACTGCAGATAGACCCATGTCTATTACCATGCACAAAATTTAGGTCCAAATGGATCAAAGACCTCAACATACATAAAGTTTCACTCACGTCTTAGAAGAGAAAGTGGGAGGTACCCTTGAACGAATTGGTACAAAAGACTGCACCTGAACATAACACCAGTAGCACAGACACTGAGATTGACAAGTAATAAATGGGACCTCCTGAAACTGAGAAGCGTCTGGAAGAGAAAGGACACAGTCAACAAGACACAATACAGCCCACAGAATGGGAAAAGATATTCATGAACATCACATCTGACAGAGGGTTGATTTCCAAAATATACAAGGAACTCAAGAAGCTAGCCACCAAAACACCAAATAATCCAATTAAAATGTGGGGTACAGAAATAAATAGAGAATTCCCAATGGAAGAATCCAAAATGGCTGAAAGACACTTAAGAAAGTGCACAACATCCTTAGCCTTAAGGAAAAAGCAAATCGAAACAACTCTGAGTTAGCATCTTGCTCCTTTCATAATGGCTAAAATCAAAAACACCAATGACCGTCTATGCTGGAGAAGATGTGGAGAAAGGGGAACACTCCCCTACTGCTGGTGGGAGTGCGAACTCAAACAGCCACTTTGGATATCAGTATGGCGGTTCCTCAGGAAAATGGGAATCAGTCTACAACAAGATCAAACAATTCCATTCTTAGCCATATACCCAAAAGATGCACATTCACATAACAAAGACATCTGTTCAACTATGTTCATAGCAGCATTATTTGTAATAGCCACAACCTAGCTGGAAGCAACCTAGCTGTCCCTTAACTGAAGAGTGGATAGAGAAAATGTGGTATATTTACACAATGGAGCACTACTCAGCAGAAAAAAACATGGAACCTTGAAATTCACAGGCAAATGAATGGAACTAGAAGAAACCATCCTGAGTGAGGTATCCCAGTCACAGAAAGACAAATATGGTATATACTCACTCCTATATGGATTTTATTCATAGAGCAAAGGATTGCCAGCCTACAATCCACATAGCCAGAGAAGCTAGGCAACAAGGAGGACCCTAAGTGAGACATCCATGGTCCCTCAGAAAAGGGAAAAGGGACAAGATCTACTGAGCTAATTGGAAGCATGGGGGGAGGAGAGAGAGAGTCAGGCAAAAGTGGAGGGGAGAAGGTAGGAGGACAGCAGGGAGCAGAAAGATTCAGTCAGGGGAAGAATAGTGGAGAGCAATAAAAGAGATATCATAATAGAGGGAACCATTATAGGTTTAAAGAGAAATATGGCAATAGGGAACATTTCAGAGATCTACAAGGATGACCCCAACTAACAATCTAAGCAATAATGGAAGGCTACACTAAATGGCCTTCTCTGATAATGAGATTTATGACTACCTTATATGCCATCCTAGAGACTTCATCCAGTAATTGATGGAAGCAGAATCAGACACCCACAGCTAAACACTGAGACAGACTCCTAGAATCCAGTTGCAGAGAGGGAGGAGTGATGAGCAAAGGGGCCAAGACCAGGCTGGAGAAACCCATAGAAACAGCTAACCTTTACAAGGGGGGGCTCATGGAACCCAGACTGATAGCTGGGAAACCAGAATAGCTGCCCTGAAGGTAGGTGTCAGTTAGGAGGCCTGGGCAATCTATGGAGCCTATGGTAGTATTGATTCCTAGTACACGAATGGAATTTGGGAATCCATTCCAAAAATAGGGAGACTCTCTCAGCCTAGATACACACAGGAGGACCTAGGCCCTGCTCCAAATGTGAAGACCCCCATGCAAGGCCTCACCCTCCCTTGGGAGAAGAAAGGGAATGGGATAGGGGTTCAGTGCAGGCCAAGGAAGAAAGGGAGGGAGAGGGAACTGAGATTGACTTGAAAAACAAGCTTGTTTCTAATTTAAATGAAAAAGAAAAAAAGAGTGAGTGATCCAGTCATTTACTCCCTCAGGTGTCCCATAAAATTACTAAACCAAAGGCTTTAATACATATGTGGAGAACCTGATACAGACCTGTGTAGGCTCTGTACTTGGGTCCTCTGTTTCTGTAAATTCATATGCAATTTGCTCAGCTGATTAGAGAGGCTTGTTCTTCTGGTAGTCTCTATCCCTTCTGTCTCCCCAACTCCTCCTGGCTTCTTTTCCTCAGGACTCCCTGAGCTCTCAGTTGAGGGGTTTGATGAAGACATTCCATTTAGAATTTTATGTTCCAAGGTCTCTCTCTCTCTCTGTGTAATGTCTGGCTGTGAGTCCCTGTACCTGTTTTCAGCTGCTGCCTGAGGAAGCCTCTCTGATGATGGCTGAATAAGACTGTGAACTATGAGTGAAGCAGAAATCATTAGGAGTCATTTTATCACTCCTTTTTAAAAGACTAATAGTATTTGCTTTTATCCAGTGCTTTTGAGCTATCTAATCTCTGCTTCTAGGTCATTCAAGCAGTGTTGTATATTGGTTCCATCTCAGAGTGGGTCTTAAATCAAGTCAGACATGGACTGGATATTCCCACAAGTTCTGTGCCAACATTGTACTAGCATATTTTGCAGAAAGGACAGATTGTAGCTTAAAGGGTTTGTGGCTGGGTTTACATTTACAAAAGTACCTTCCTGCACCAAAGGCATGAAAATAAGTTTTTTCTTATGAAAGGTAAGGACAAACCCTCCTGAAAAGTGCAGGGCATGAGTGGGGTATCTGTATACAAGCTCTGGCCTCTATGTGTCTATCTTTTGTATTATTTCTCATGTTTTCTAAATCTGAAATAAATCCCAGAACACCCAACACTACCATAGCGTCCGATGTACAATAGTTTTAATGTCTCCTATTAAGGGAACACTTGTGACTCTTGGCCAAAAGAATACAATATGCATTTGGGTGCAGATATACCACTTTGTAGCCCTGAAAAACAATAACATTTTGGCAGTTGTTTTAAAGTGTTAGTTTGGTTTTTTTTAACATCAGGGAGACATTTAGGTTGTTTCTAAGAGTGCCCCCTCTGACTCTTAGGACATCCTGGCTATCAAGCCTCATATACTAAAAGATGTATCATAGATGGTTTTCATCACGTACTAAATATAATGTATATAATGTCATAGGTAATATTTTCCCATCTAATTATGAAGTATCAATGAATTATGTACTTATTCTCAATAAAAACTATTTCTTATTCTACTATCAAATGGTCCAATTTTATTTTACTGTTTATTGATTTATGTTTATTTTTGAGACAAGGTCTCACTGCGTAGCCTTGGCTTTCCTAGAATTCCATATATAGATCATGCTGGCCTTTAATTCACAGAAATACACCTGTTTCTGCTTCCCAAACTTTGAAATTAACACCATGCACCATCATACCTGGGTAATCCCATTTTTAAAGATTTATTTTACTTTTGAATTACATATATATTTGTGTATCTGTATATGGTATATGCACCAGGTGGGTGCCATACCTTTGGATGCCGGAAGAAGGTGAAGATTCCCCTGGAGCTAGAGTTACAGATGTTTGTGCACTGCCATGTGGTTTGTAGAAACTGAACCCACTGACTGAAAAGTGCTCTGAACTAGAATCATCCCAAATCAGATTATTTTTCAATAGTTGAAGTTGAGTGCCTATGTCTGTTGGTTGTGTATTATGTCACATTGATTAAAGACAGAAGTGTATGCATGAGAAATTAATTTATTTAACCAACAGAATAGTCAGTAATATAGTAGGAGGATAGGAAGAAAATCCATGAAGCAGATATTCTGACTTCATTTGTAAGATTAGAAGGAAAAAAGAAAAATGGTGAATTATCTTCATTGTCATGATTCTGATTTCACGCAAAAGTTGATGTGGGGAATATTCATGATCTTGCTGTCATCGGTAAAGCTTCAAATGCAAAAGGCAACACAAACACAAACAAAACAGTTAGATGTTCATGAGCTGCTGGTACTAACAAAATTTCTAAGATTGTAAATGAAAAAATAATGGATGAAGAATATAGTGGAAGGTTTGATAAAAATGCCAAATGTCATAGGGTTAGACTTAAGTTTCTCCTCACTGACTTCAATACCTCTGTACTGAGCTTTAGACTGATAGTTTTCAATGTAAATATTGATTTTCTATCAAAAAAGGAATGTATATGCAAGGTTGTGTCTCAGGAGAGTTCTAGAAAGTTCATCTACATTTACAGTATTTCCAAATGCAAGATACACCCCTGAATTCCACAGACATTACTCATTTTTAACAGTTGAGAATTTCACAAAATTATTTCACATCAAGATAAAAGAAATCGGGAGTGCCAAGTCATACAGCCACCTTGGAAATCCGAATGGAGATTCCTCAGAAAAATGGGAATCAGTCTACCACAAGGCCCCGCAATTCTACTCTTAGTCATATATCCAAACGATACACATTCATACAACAAGAACGTAGGTTCCACTATGTTCATAGCAGCATTATTTGTAACAGCCAGAACTTGGAAGCAACCTAGATTCCCCTCAGCTGGAAATTAGATAGAGAAAATATGGTACATTATAAAATGGAGTACTATTCAGAAGAAAAAAAAAACAATGGAATCCTGAAATTTGCAGGCAAATGGATGTTACTAGAAAAAATATCCCGAGTGAGGTAACTCAGTCACAAAAAGCAAACATGATATGTACTCTCTCATATATGGTTTTTAAACATAGATATGGTCTGGGGAGTGCCAGCCTACATTCCCACAGCCAGAGAGTCTGGGAAACAGAACCTGTTTCCAAAGACTGATGGAAGCAGAGGCAGACTCCCACAGCTAAACATTGAGCTGAACTCAAGGAACCCAGTGAAAGAGAGGGAGTACTGATGAGCAAAGGAGTTAAGACTGGGCTGGTTTAACCCCTGGAAACTGTTGACATGAATAAGGGGTAGTTCTTGATTCCCAGACTGATGCTTGGGAATCCAGCATGGGACTGATCAACACCCCCTGAATGAATGTGGGTGTCAGTGAGGAGGCCTGGGTAATCTATGGGGCCTTGGGTAGTTGTATCTCTGGCATACAAATGGAGTTTGGGTGCCCATCCCACAATGAGAAATGCACTCTCTCCCTGGACTCATGTGGGAGGGTCTAGTTCCTGCCCTGGATGAAATGACAGACTATGGACACCCCCATGAAGAGCCTCACCCTCCTTGGGGAAATGAGGAGATATGGGGAGGTTGGAGAGGGAGTGTGTGAGGAAGGGAAGAAAAGGGAGAGGAACCTGGTATTGACATGTGCAGCAACCTTTTTTCTAATTTAAATTTAAATTTACAAATAAAAAATAAAATAAAATAAAAAATATATAAAAGAAATCTACACTCTGCTTTAGGGGAGATTTGCTTTTTGTCATGGTATAAAGACTAACAGCAACATCAATCATAGCTTTTCCCCCTTTGATTGTATAAGCATATATATATATATATATATATATATATATATATATATACACAGAGGGAGAGACAGAGAGAGAGAGAGATAAAACTATAAACAAACAGTTCCTCTATCAAATACATGACCAATAACCTAATGAATGAAATCTTGGGTGCGGGAATGGGGACCTGGTTGGGGGCACAGGGAGGAGGGGAGGGATAGGGAGCTGGAATTAACATGTGAAGCAAGCATGATTCTAATTTAAATAAAAAAGGAAAAATGTTTAAAAAAGAATGAATTCTATCAGATTAAACCATGAGTAAGCTCCTCTATCATGTTCATACTCACCCATATGGTGTCTTTATTGATTACAAGTGTCTGTGAAAGATAGTTTTGATAGAGGGAGAAAATGGCACAAACAAAAATATTGTTAGAGATCCTTAGTATTTCCAGTGTTTTTAAATTTTAAAAGGGTGAATCAGTGATTATTAGGAATATTTTCAGATGCATGTCTTTGCTGTGTGAAGCACAATGGTGTTACCTGTGGTCACCAAGTGCTCAATATTCTCCTTTGGAATATCGTATTTCTCGGCTGTCTTCTCAAACCTCTGCTTCTGTTCTATGCTCGAACTCTCACCTTTCCCTACATTGCATGGAACAGAAAACAGAGCGTCTGTTAAAATGCTTAGAACAGACACAGTGGTAGTGGGTCATGCAGTACTGACCCATGGAAACATCCTGTCTTCCTGACCCTTCCTTATCCCAACCAGCTTCACTCTGCTCAGCCTAAAAGTTTTTTGAGACAGGGTTCTCTGTAGGTTTGGAGAGTCTCCTGAAATTTATTCTGTAGACCAGGCTGGCCTCAGGCTCACAGAGATCTGCCTGCCACTGCCTCCTGGGTGCTGGGATTAAAAGAATGAGCCTCTACAACACAGCCAGCCTAAGACTTCTAAGGTATACAGAACACATTTAATGGAGTTAAAATGTAAGGAACCATGACTTTGTCCACCCTGAAGACTAACTCTCTTTTTACGTTATGATGATGATGATGATGATTATTATATTTATTCATGCTTTCAACATAGGCATGACATTTTTTTTCAAAAATACCTGTATGGAATTCTGATGGCTGGAATCTGTGAACTAAATATCTGCATGATATGACTTTTCATCTTATTTCTGTGTAGATTCTAGAATCCACACACGGGAATATGATTATTACTAAAATGAGCAGTTAAATCAGATGAACAGGTTCGTGAACCAAAAATTAACAACCACCCAACTCCTACCACATCCTCTCTATCCATCACTCACCCACCCCAACTCCCGACCCCCAGTCCCCACCCTCCCCTCCCCTCACAGCTATGTCAAACAAAGCAACCTGGGATTTGGGGGGACTTTTTTGTTTTTTTGTTTTTGGCTTTGTTAGTCAACCAAACACAGTCAAGAACATCTGGGAAGAGGGAACCTCAATTAAGAAAATTGCCTCCATCAGATAGACCTGTGGCAAACCTTGTAGGACATTTTTCCAGATTGAAAGTTGATGTGGAAGAGCCCAACACGCTATGGGAAACTCTGAAATACATTTTGTTAATCAGTGGCTGATGGGGGAAAGCCCAACCTATTGTGGGTGGTGTGTTCCTTGGCCTGGTGGTCGTAAGTTTTATAAGAAAGCAGGATGAGCAAGCCATGAGAAGCAAACCAGTAAATAGTACCCCTCCATGGCCTCTGTGCCAGTGCCTGCTTCCAAGTCCCTGCCCTGTTTGAGTCGCTGTCCTGGCTTCCCTCAGTGATGGACAACAATGCAGTAGTGTAAGCCAAATAAACCTTTTCCTCCCCAACTTTCTTTAACACAGCAATAGAACCCCTATGATGAGCAGCACACTCACCAACAACTAAAATAACATTTGTCTTTCCACTATCGTCGACATTAACGTTGTGAAAGGTCATGGTGTCATCTGCCTTCTCTACAACGTGGAAATAATTCTGACCAGAGACTGCAATTAAAACAGAAACACCTGAGAACTCAGTAGAATTGTCATGATTTAGTTGTTGCTGTTGTTGATTTGTTTTTTCATTATATTTAACACATCTATCACACTTTTTCTTACTTCAATTGTAAGTCTTACTTCAAATGTCCTTCACAATAATATAGAATTATAAATGAAATAGCAGCATTCTTTGTAATAACCAGAACCTGGAAGCAACCTAGATGCCCCTCAACTTTAGAACGGATAGAGAAAATGTGGTACATTTACACACTGGAGTACTATTCAGCAGAAAAAATCAATGGAATCTTGAAATTTGCAGGCAAATGGGCAGCACTAGAAGAAACCATCCTGATTGAGATAACCCAGTCACAAAAAGACAAACATTAACTTCACATGTTCCTATTAATGTTTAAAAGATTAATTAGAACTTTGAACTTGCATCAGAAATTATCAGATGAATTTCTCTGAAATCCTGGCCCCTACATGTGTATCCTGGGCCAACAATGCCCGTTGTCTCAGACACAGACAAAGACACAAACACACTCTCTCTCTCTCTCTACACATACACACATACACACACACAGATGTATATATATATATATACACATGCATATATACTCACAGTCTGTAATATACTTCCCATCTTTGCCTTTTCTTCCCACAACTCTGTGTTCCTGGCACACGTTTTCCACCCTAAAAAAAGAAAGCTTCACTTCTTAATTTACTCTTTTCAGATTGCTAATATTTCATTATTGTGTTGGTAGCATTAACTATCTTGGGCTGATTTTTAATTTGGGTAAATAAACAGAGACTCCGGCGTCATGGCTGGCATGGGCAATAAATCCAGCCTGCCAAGAGAAGACTGTGTCCTCAATCTTCTACCCACCTTTACCATTTGTGACTGGTTTCAACCAGAATTACCCAACCTTCTGAAACTAAAATAGCACAGCCAATCTTGCTGAAGTCAAGTACACAGATAAGGCTGAAGGCCACTGTTCTCCAATAGGCCCAGGAGATCAACTCCATTTTTCATGCATAACCCATTTATTTGAGTGAAAATTTTACAATGGCATTCACGTCCCTGTTTCTCAGTCCTGTCCCTGTGCGTTGGATGAATGTCACTTACTTGGTATAAAATTTGATTGTGAATGTCTGGCATTCATCACTGCATTCCAGGTGCTTGACGTAAACTCTCAAAGGTCCACCTTCGCTTACCTTACTCTTATTATCTGCTGCTATGTAAAGGCTGTGCCACTTCCCGTCAACCTAAGGAGCACAGACCTTATTGTGAGTGTTGGGTAGTCATTTCATTTCCTGTTTTTATTTCAGCAACACTATTACTAATTATACATTATGTCAACCGACAAGTGAACTTGGACCTAGTGAATGTAGATGTCTTCTTCCTTGAGAGTAAATCATGAGAAGGCATCATCACTCATTCACACCAGAATGTGGGATACTGGAATACAGTTCGCACTGTGTAAATCACCCACAGGGAAAGTTCAATCTGGAAGTTTTTGATCTTAACCTTCTTTCACACTGTAGATAGATCTCATTGAAAACATGAAAGAGGTTTAATGACACTAGGATAGAATTAAAGATCAGATTTGGATACGGTATAGAAGTATATTGAATTTAAACAATGAACATGCTCAAACCAAGCTCAGGTATATATAAACACAAGAGGCCCTTTCATCCCCAAATGTACATACCTCTGAGGGACTGACTTCAAGATTCTGATGCTGTGCACAGGACACACCTAAGGCAAGAGCAAGCAGCAGGAACTTCACCATGGTAGAGCCTGGATTCACTGCTTCTTACAGAGGTCAAAATCTGACAGGTGTTGGAGAGACCGAGAATCTTCTCTACCTTTTATAGTATTAATCTTTGCCCTGAGATGTAGTGGGTGGATTGTCCACAGTGAAATTCCAGTATATCCTGGTTGGCAGCAACAGCCATAGACAACAATTCTGTTATTCTGATTGCTTCCTAATGAGATTAATTTGAGTTAAGCCATGAAATTGACCTTTCTGGCCACTGTGGACATGGGCAGACTGTCAAAAGCACCAATATTCATGTCCTTAAACTCCAAGTTTCTCATTTGGAAGAAGTGGAAAATGTGGGGGATTTTTGAGTCTTGTTATTTTAACTATGACAACTTTTCCATAAACTAGACCATTTGACCACTAGTTACAATGTGCATATTAATCAATTTTTATTCAATTAAATATCAATGAACATGAGATTCAGTGTAAAGCTGTGTGCTGTTTTATATTCTGGGCAAGAATTTGTAATTTTGACTCATGATATGAAACATTTTTTAACTTGATATTCTCAACAACAATATAAAATTTTGTTTTGATATAAAATATCATTGTTTTATGGGCTCAGTTGTTGATAGGCCATGGTAATGGTCATAGCTTATTCCAACTACAGTTTACATTTTCAATACTAAATACATGCACACATTCATATCTGTTTGTTGTTAGTGTATTTTTTCACAAGTGTGTCTCTGAATCATTTATGCAACTTACAGACAGTTGCTAATTTTCTCATGATTGTGTCTAATGATTTCTCAACTTTTTCTCCATTCAGACCTTTGGTCAGTAGATGGATTTACAAATATTTGCCCAAATGCATCATTCAGTATTTATTTTCCTTAAGTCATTTTTCAAGATTCCAAAAATTTTACATAAGAAATGGTCACCAAGCCCACTGTCACAAATGCTTTCCTATAATTTCTTCATGCTTCATTGTGTACTGTATATATTTGTTCTTATCATATTCCTATATGGTGCCTTCTTATTTATTGTCAACTTGTATGTTTTTGAGTCTCCATGAAATAACTCAATTCCATGACACAAGGTGGACTTTACTTACAAACATCAATGTCTTCCACTGATTTCTTGAGAAATCTCTATTTTTTCCACAGAATTTGAGTGTTCTT